CAAGAGCAGATGCACAAGCATACGAACAATCAGCTGAACAAGCCGATCGACAAACAAAGAGAAATTACGGCCAAACAACAAGTATTGGCGCTCAAACAACGAAACGAACATAAAGCTTGTCCTCATGCGCACCTACCCTTGGAAGCCTCAGGAAGGAGCATACGAATGAAATGGATCAAATGCGCTCGCGCTGCTGATTACGGCCTCATACAGCATGTGGGCATTCTGGATTGCTCTTTAGCATCCCAGTTGCTGGAGATTGTCCAGCTGCGGCAGCTGTTGCTGCTGCCACAGCTGCAGGTAAGGGTCGCAGCTCATCCGCCGCAGCAATTGCTTTGGGTTTTGCCGCTGGTACAGCTTGACAACCAGCGCGTCCATCAATCTAGACGGCAGCACCACCCCCAACAGGGGCAGCAGCAGCGATATCATTGTTACCTTTCGTTCCATCTAATCCCTTTCTTCCCTGTCATCCGTACTCCTCATGCTATGGCTGCTCGTGACTAGTAGGCGGAGACAGCGGGCTGTTGCAGCCTGGCTAGCCAGCTGGCTGGACGGCTAGCCAGCTACCCACTTAGGGGTGAGAGGCTCATCTATATGCATTCTGCCTCGGGGCGGCAGTCATTGCTGCTACCGCCACTGCTGTTCTTGTCGCATTTGCTGCCGGTCCAGTTCCAGGGTCGCTCATTGGCTTTCCTTCCCGCGCCAGCAGCGCTTGATGTGTTTTGTGCGTTGTGGCTGCCTGAAGTGTGCATCTTTTAGAGACAATTTCTGTTACATCTCTTGCTGATCGTACAGCTCTAACGCCTGCGTAGGGTCCCGCTGGCTGCTCATTTGGTGACGCTGCCGCTGCTGCCGTCGCTGCGCCTGGTGTTGCATCTCCTGCAACTCATGCAACACTAACAACAATTGCTTCTAGTTCTAATCGTTGGCGGAAAGTTGGCGCTCATACCACGCCTGCTGCTGTGCTGCTGCTGCTGCTCCTGCTGCTTCTGCTACTGCTGATAGTGGCGGCCTGCGCTGTTGCCGCTGCCGCACGACGCTAGCAGCAGCGGCAGTAGTCTCGGCAGCAGAATGTGTATAAACGGCTGCTGCTAGAGAAGAAGTGGCAGTGTTCCAGAAACTGTGCGGCAGCTCGTTTTTGCTGGGGCCCCCAAGCCAGTTGGGGCCTGACCGTTTCGTTGGCCGGAGCGCAAACACCAATAGCAGCAAAAGAAGCCGCAGCAGCGGCAGGCGGCAGCAGATGCAGGTTTAGTTGCCCATGGGGCTGCCTTGTTGCAATTCTAGTGCCCCACTGTCTGTTGAAGAAGCCACCAACGGCCAGGAAATCCTCAAAAGGAAGACAAGCCCCTTCAAGCCGTTGAGGCGAGCAACTGCTGTCTGCTATTGCAGCACCAGCACCAGCAACAGGCATGAAGCAGATGTATCTTGCTGCTGCAGCCGCAGCCGGTAAAGCCGCTGCTTCCTATGCTTCCAATGGCGTTGCCAGCAAGCAGCGTGTGCTGCAGCGGCGGATACCGTTGCTAACGGGACTAACAGGGACAGCAACAAAAGCAGCAACAGAAGGTACAGCAACAGTACCGAAACCAGGCAGCAGAATTGTGTGCGCAATAAAGTGACGCTCATTAGCCCTCCCCTTTTTGCGGAGACAGACACACTTGCTGTGAGGAAACGATAGCGCCCTCGTGTTACGGCCACAGGAGGCGAGCTTAGCAGCTGCTGCAGATGCTGGCGGACTGCATTAGCACCAGCAGCAGCGGCAGCTGCAGCAAGCACTGCTGAAAGGAGGCCAGGCGGACAACTGGTGCCTGGAAGGGCGTGCCCTCCGCTGAGCGTCAGGCTGTCGGCTCCGCCACGGGTGCAGCTGCTGTTGCTGCTGCTGTTGCCTTCTGTGCAGCAGAAATGGCTGCATCTGCCAGTCGAGCCGAGGGAAAAGAAGCCGGTGCTGCTTCAAATAGTTGTCGACGCCCTGTCGTGCAACCCCTGGCTGTTTCTGCTGCCGCTCATTGTGCCCCCTGCTGTAAACCCTCTGCCTGAGGTCTTACCTCATTCACTGCTTTGGCTGCTGTTCGCATTAGCAGCCGCTTCCTCAGATGCATCGCAGCTGTCTTTTGATTCTGATGCTGGTCCTGCTGACCAGTAACACAGCGTTTTGCATGAGCAACTTGGGGAATTTTCGCTGCACGCCTCGCTTGTTGCATTCAATGTTTATGCGTCTGTTTACGCTTTTTTCCGTTTCTCTGCTGCTCTTTGTGTGTTCTTTCCCTAGTCAATTTGCATTTGCAGCCATTTCTCTTCGAGCAGCGGTATTTGTCGAAGGACGCAGATGCGTGCCATGGTGAATCTCAACCCCTAAACTCAGCCCCTGGGCCCTTGACCCTAGGCCCTGACCCCCAAACCCTAAACCCTAAACCCTTAACCCTAAACCCCTACGCCCTAAACCCTAAACCGTAAAAACCATAAATCCTAAACCCAAAGACTCTAAAAGCTGAAACAACTACTCTACGACGACACATGTTGTGCCCTCTAAAGTTACTGTTGTCCCAGCTAAGACGTTTAGGAGTTCCTCGTCTCCCTGCGGGTGGCCTATCGTTGGTGCATATAGAACACTGAACAGAAAAACGGCTGAATGAATGTCTGGTGAGTCTTCATTTGAGTTATTCAAAGCATTCCCGTCTCGGCAAAACAACGACCTCCCACAGACCGCCGAAAATTGTGAGGAGGGGCTAAGCGCCCCCCTCCGCTGCCTCTATCTGTCACGCGGTCACATGGATTGCAGCAGATATCGTCGCCCCCAGGGCCCTTAAAAGCTGCAACGACAATGGTTCTGCATCACCTGACCACCCCACCTGTCTCTAGCGGCCCTGCGCACAGCTGATTAAGGCCCACGGGCTGTTGGGGGGCTGAAGAGGTCTTTCCCGAGCTGCAGCATTTCTCGCTGTAATCCGTGCTGCAGCAAGGCAGCCCCACGCACAATCATCCCTAAGTCCCCTTGTCGAACTATTTTGCCACCGTCTTCGTCAGACACTTCCTTTTCCTCCCGAAGACAACAAAACAACAGCAAATGAGGACGCATGCCATCCACTCCGAAAGGTTCTGCTGCTGCAAGAGGTCTAATTAAACACAGCCCCAGAGGAGCTTCTTAAATGTGGATGGTAGCAAATGAGCTGTCGCTAGGCATATAATATATATATATATAGGCTAGCTGTATATAATATATATATATATATATATATATATATACAGGGAGCTTCATGCCGCACACCAGTCATGCTGGACTGGGCTGCAGCACCTGCCAACACACGCCGCCTTGTGACTCATATTCAGCAGAGCGCCTGGCACTCCCTGCCCTTAGGGCGTCACCCCGACTCGGATAAGATAAGGGCTTAACGCTGATGCTTCAGGAGTTGGTGGCTGTGGGTCAAACTTTAGTGGGTCGCTGCGACCTCAACGTAACACCGGACCATACCTGGCCAAATTGTAGCGTAGAGCAGCTGCAGCTGCTGCACCCGCCGCAGCCGCTATAGCTGCTGGAGCTGATGCCGCATTCATAAGTTGAGTAGCAGCCACTGAAGGAAGTCGGCAACCCCACGGCTGCTGGGCCAGCGGCGTCCGGATTGGCTTCCACCCCTCTGTTTGCCGGTGTTGCTGCTTTTGCTGCTGGCGTGATCCCGCCTGCAGCGGCAGCTGCAGCTCTCTTCGTTTCCTTTTTACGCGTCTTCAGCTCTTGCTCCCTCTGGTGTTCTTCTGGGAGTCGCTTGACCCTTTCAAATTCATCTTCCGCCTCCGCAGCCCTCCCTTCGGCTCCTGCGCCGCCCGCAAGGGCCCCGAATCCCCCTGACATTCCCTGAGCACCTCCTTCCTGCTGCTGCTGCTGTTTTACACGCACATTCGCTTTTGACTTTGGGTTTGGGGCTCCAACCCAGTCCCCATCGTCTGCCGCGCTGCCTACAGCTTGACCTTAACCCTAGCCAAGGGCACCCGATCTACACGCATACTCATTCTTGTGTACATACACCAGCGACGCAACAGCAGAGAGCAACGGCAGCAATACGTGCTGCAGCAAATAAAGAAGCCACGGCTCTCCAATAAAAAAGTAGTAGACATAGAGAAGAAACTCCCTGAAGACACAAATGAGCTGCACATACACCTGGGGGCAGCCCGGCATGCAAACAAACGCAGAAAAGAATACCCGCCGAGAAGCTGGTTGTGGTTGCGGCCCCTAATATGATCCAAATAGGCCTGTGAGTCCTTGCAGAAACACTCGCAAATGTCGCACCAGAACCTGCAAGCAGCGCCAACACAACAATGCTGCGGACTCTGTAGCTGCTGCTATTCCTGCTGCTGCACTTGCTGCTGCTCTAGCTGCAGGAAGCATAATGCGCAGTCACTTCAATAAACAACACAGCCGCAGCAGCAGCATGGTCACCAACGGTAGCAGCAGCAGCAGCAGCAGCAGCGAGACGGCTTGTAGCAGTAGGATGAGCGCAAGTATGGCGATATTAACAGCAGCACAAACAAGTTCACGAGCTTGAGCCTCATCAGCGGCAATGGCAGCAGCAAAAGGAGTACAACTCAGGTAATACTGAACGGCAGCAGCAAGAAGCCAAACAGTCTAGCACTGACACGCTCCAGCCAGCAACAACAAAGGCAGCAAGAGCTCCCGCGGCAACAAGCGCAGCAACAGCAGCAGAAGGAGCAGCAGCAGAACGTACCCGCGCTGCTGCATCCTGGGGGTCTGCAGGGTGACCATTTTCGTGCGGCTGACTTCTCTCTCGAAGTCGAGTTTAAATGTGCGCTGCTGCAGCTGCTGCCGGTAGCCGTACGGCGGCAGCGGCGGCGATTTGGGCTTCTCTCTGGGTTTTGGTAGCACGCCTAGAAGAGATTTAACTCCCAGCAACGAAGCTTTTTCCTTCGCTTTCTCTTCGTAGTAGTCCTTGTCCCACACCTGCACCAGATGTAGCAGCACCAGCAGCAGGTTCAGCGCAGCTCAGTGCGTCCCGTGCTGCTGCAGAAGCAGCAACTGCTGTAGCAGCGGTAACACCTGCAAATGGGGAGGTAAACTCAAGCGGCAAGTATTGCTGGGAAAGCAGTAGCAAACGCTGCAGCACCTGCTGCAGCAAGCGATACGCGCAACAGTACATCAGGCAACGGAAAACAAAAAACAGCAGCAACAGCAGCATCAGCAAGCATGAATGCAACCAACCACCAGCACTCCCCAGAGCAGCCCCAACTGCCGACACCCGCTGCTGCTTCTCTTGCAGCTATTGCTGCTGCTGCTTCTCCCGCCGCTACTGCTGCTGCTGCTGCTGCTTCTGCTGCTCTTGTTGTGCACGTGGTTGGCTCCCCGAGCTGCGTCCTAAGTTGTCCGTTGCTTTTTGGGTACCCAGGCGGTCAGGCTCAGGTTTCTGACAGGGGTGCTGCTGCTCCGCTGATGCTGCTTGACCTGCGGCAGCACTATGGGACACCCAATCCCTCCGTGATGACAGCCACAAGCTGTGGGGCTGCAGCAATGCCATCTGTGGCAATCATTGGCTAAAGCCTAAACCCTGAAACCCTAAACCCTAAAACCCAAAACCCTAAAACCCCTCAGCCCTAAACCCTAAACCTTAAACCCCTACACCCTAAAAGCCTAAAACCTAAAACCCTAAAACCCTAAAACCCTAAACCCCTAAATCCTAAACCATAAAGCCCTAAACCCTAAACCCTAAACCCTAAATCATATACCCAAAAAGCCGAAACCCTGAACACCAAACCGTATTACCTACGCGCTCGTCCCTGAATGTCTGCAGAAACCCAGAACATTGGGGGGAAACATGAGATGCTTCGTCCGCACAAGCGGCTGACTCGTGTTGGGCCTCGCTAGATGCCATTTGGCCTGTCTCGCATGCTCGGGTCGCACATGTTGTCGCCTAAGGCGCGTTTGACCCATACGCGTGAGCAAGTTTATTTCTTCACTCGTAGTTCCAAACTATCATACTGCCGCGTGCTGCCTTTCCTGGATGCTAACCCCAGGTGGCCGGGGGCCCAAAGACGCACAAACAGATGCCATCGAGAATTTGACCTGAAAAAAACTAGGGATTGGCATGAGTAGTATCTGCTTTCATCCATTCTTCTACTTGAAGAATGAAGGCGGAAGTATCTCCACAGCAGCAAAATCCGTATAAAAGAACAAAGAGATTCAGGGCCATTCCAGCAGGCTAAAGGAATAAACCGAGCATTCCTGGTGGACGATTCTGATTTCCACACCGTCCTGCGGATGATACATGGATTCCAGATCGTCGCTCTACTGCGACACTAGGGTGCACTGCCGCGCAAGGAAGAATGAATATCTATTTGTGGGAGATTCTGTATTCACCGTTTTCAATAGAATGCCCCAACGGGCGCAGTTGTGATGCAACGCAGGCTGTATAGAGGCTAGGGAGGGCAATAATCCTGTGTGCAAAGGAGGAAATGAATGTTACAACAACGCTACTGTTTGTCAATAAACTGATTAAAGATGGTTGACGCAAGGTCATTCTGCGCATGAGGGGAAGTACTTCCCATCGGCAAGCAAAACCGGGAATTCCTGCTCAGTGCTGTTAGGGAAACACGCAGGCCCTCTGTCAAGGCATGCTCTGGCAAGCACCGGTATCCGAAGGATTACGCTAAGCTTGGTACGCCGTATCTGGAGAAGACGCAAGGGCAACGCGGGAATACTGGCACTGCGCTACCTTTGTAATCGCGCTTGGCCGTGATGCGCGGAGTCAAGAAGTGCTTGGATCGGGAAAATATATACGAGTGAAAGAATATCTTCGACATTTGGGCATGCTGCAAAATCTATGAATTACCACCCCTTGGACACCAGCTAACTTCCCAACCAACTGCTGCAGTTGTAGAGCTTTGTCTCTGCAAAGATGCTACAAGCTCGAGTACGTGCCGGTTGTGCCCTTGCCACAGTGGTTTCGAAACTGCCCACACCCCGCTGCTTGGCAGCGAGGGTTCAACTCAACTGGTCCCGGTTTTTGCACGCACCCATCTTAGAATGGAATTCTAAGCACTTCACTACAACGGCCTGTCCACGCTAGAGGCGAAAAGGTCAACGGCCCGTATGGCTGGCTGTATCTACGTTCAACTTTCCTTATTCAGCGCTTGACAAAAGACATGCATCAATGTGACGTCGTTGGTTCTAGCTTTAGCAGAGAATCCCAGAGGCTCCATTCGCGGCTAGGTCTCCCCCCAGTCTGCTCAATACACCGTACGATCGCGTCGAAGAGATCCTTAGTGGTAGGGAATCTCTTGCCAATTTCCGACAGCTTTTTCTCCATGCCTGCCAATCTCTTGTCATTGAATCCCATGAAGTACATATCTCGCCCACAACCACTTGAGGAAATCCACTGCAGTAAAGTCTTTAATTGGGTGTTACCGCCAAATATTTCACATCCCCTGCGCAAGCAATGCATACGTCCTTCACCCCACCTACACAAAACAAAAAGTTTGAAGTGTCTGTCATAAAAATTATACAGGCGAAGTGGGATGGAATTGCTCACCATTTGCCAGTCGCAACCCCAGCTCTTGTCCCAGGAAGTGTATCTTCAAATGGATCCCCCTGAAAGCCAAGGGCTGCCTTGAGGATCTCTCGTTTTAAATTCTTAGTGGTGTATTGCCTTTGCCTGTCATGCTTAAGCTCAAGGGCATCTATAGCGACTACAGTTGTCTCCCGCCGTCCCATGTGGTCCACGGGAGTTCGGCCGTGGACGCTCCAGTGGCAGCCCTCTGGAACTTCAGGAGCAAACACCCTAAAGGTACGTTCGTAACCTGCTCACATTGTGACGAATGAAAACACTTTACGCATTGAGAAAGCATATACGGCCAAAGCAGGATTTCAAAGAAAATATCATGGTACTGAATTTGACGCATCAGCCCTGAAGAATCACTATCCCCCACTTGTAGGTACTGTAGCTGCCTGTTAGTGTGTTATGCGTAGATTATCACCTGTATACAGCACGAAACTCTCAGCACCCTTAATAACAATTGCCTCATGATCCTTAAGGGCGGCCGTGATCAGCATAACTGCGAGCATCTCGGGCCTCAGCGTGAAAAGCAGTTCTTCCTGGGCCACGTGGTCCCTAAACATGGCCAGGCCCCCAACAAACTGATCTGCAAAGTCTACCTAAGAAGCAAAATGCACACAACAATCATACGTAAACAGACGCAACTGCGTGTTGCGTGTATGTTTTTGTATCAGCATGCATTACATAATCATGTATACCTAAACAGACACATGAGACCAACTAGCGGTGATTAGATGGACGCATTTTGCAGATAGCCTTCCGTTATAAACGACGCCATATGCTATATCACAATGCATACGGCTGAGACGCACTTGCAAATTTCCATCACTCTTCGTAATATCCCCATCTAGTTGGACCACCAATTTTGTGAGGGGAATTGGCTGAGTAATCATTTCATCAACATCGACCTTGTCTCGAGACACCTGTTCTCCCTTGGGCCCCGTGAACGTGGTGGGCTCCGGAGTGTGCAAGTAAAAGCTGATCTTTTCGTCAACTGGAGCAATGTCTAGCGTCCGTCCTTCTTGACACAAACAGGTGGAGGGGCACTTCGCCTCTGAGAAGTCATTTCGCTCGAGCATCTGCATCCAGCAGCTGCCCATCCGCTTATGCATGGCGCCAAAGTAAGCCAGAAGAGCTTGGAACTTTGGCGCCCGCTCAAAGAAGCCCCGGTGATGCATGTCCAGCGCATTGAGACGCAAATTGCCCCAATCACTCAACAAATCCCGCTGCCCATGAGGAATTATCCCGAAGAAACTCGCAGACAGCAAAGCATAAACTTGAATTCGCCGCAGATGCGTCGCGGAATTCGACGGCGACAGATGAGGCAGTCCCTGACGCCACCCACACACAACGAGCACTGAATGGCAGCAATCCGAATCAAAATATCAGTGCAATTCACACCTACCTCCCCCCACTGGAACAAAATCCTTACCTGTGGGAAGAGATCGCGTAGATGCCGAGCAACACTCGCCATGAATGGCAATGTCTCCGTAAGGAATTCTGGGTTTTGCTCCAAATGTGCAGCTAGTGGCCTGGCCCGTAATGCTCCCCCGCCACGGTGGTTCCCTTAGTAAACACCAGAAAAAACAGTTCACTTCAGTGCAGAGACTCATGTGAGACACATATGGCATCATCTAACTTCCAGTATAGACAAAAACAGGGCCAGAGGTTTATGGGGAAGTCACGTTGAGGCCTCTCACAAGAAACAGGCAATGGATGTCATGCGCGATTGCAGGAGCTAGCTGGCAACGTAGTGGTCTGATGCCGCGTGGCCAGAATGCGATTACCTGCAGCTTGAAGTAGGGATCTCATGAGTTCTTCGATATCCGATGCGGCAGAAGGGACAGAACCGTCCTCGAGGCTTTTGAGGATGCGTTCGACTTGCATCTGGTCGTATTCATCTTCAGGAAAAAGGACTGCTGAGGGGCCGCCTGTGCGGCGCCGTGAGCGTACCTGAGAGCCGCCCACAGCGTCCACAAATGGTGCCAATACTGCCATCATAAAAAGCCAGCTAAACCTCAACGACGTGGACAATGAGCTAGGGGTTTTGCGTTGATTCTTGCAAAAGCCGTTACTATTTGCACAATTTGCATTAGAACCACCGTCAGTTGCGTCCCTCCCTCCGTTGGTCCCGTTCTCCGCAGGGTAACGGTCATCGAGCATAAAAGTGCAATAATGTCAATACGAAACAAGGCCACGGCATTGTCTGTTCTCCTTCGCGGATAGCCCATTCCCATGTGAGGGCATTCGCATTCGCAACATATCTCGCTAAGGAAATATGCTTACTTCCTGGGGCGAGCACAGCATGTTATTGCAACAGAAGAAAAAATAGTCACACTTCACAAGGAGATGCGCGCATGAAATGCATCCCCATTTGGCGTGAGTAGCCCGCATTTCTACAAGCTCTGCGCAAGGAAGTTGTTCGCGAAACTTGATCCCCCCATGCTGGTTGCTAGCGGCAGCACGGCATAGCTGGTTCATTTCGGTGTCAGCTTTGGGTCGTTCTTTGCTTAAAGGCTGACAACATGCGAAGCATCTCCAACGTAAGAGAAACGGCATACACGCGCAAAGCATTGGACCATTTTACGACGCGAGTCGGGCTTTTGCCCGTGCATGCTACGAAACCTTTGCACCGAGAAGTGCACATCGACCAGTTACGAACGGCACAATCATCAACTGCATTTGCTCGAGAACCAATCATTCTATTGTCATGTGAACGACTTTTTCGCTCCACTTCGACTAGGCGGCAAATGCCAAGTCGCTGCACATTTGTATTCAGAGCAACGCCTCCACTCCTCAGCTCGATCGCCTGCATATGACACCACTGTCGCAGAGCAATGCACGTTGCAGTTTATGTTGGAGAGACTGAGTCATTGAGGCTCTACGACCTCTACGTGAACTTGGTGCTTCACCCGCCTGCTGAATGAAGCTTCACAGTATCTAGCATATACAGCCCATAGTCCTCCTCACCTGACAAGTGGACAGCAGAAAAGCGCACCTCCTGCTGCACGTCGACCTCAAGCTGAAAGCTACTCCTTGCACTATATTGCCAGGATAACGATGTGCCACTCGCCCGGTAAAATGCAGCACCGCTAATGGCGGAGCAAACGTCCTCACTCAGACAGGCAAAAACCCTTAACAACGCATTATGTACTCTAGTCCAGCTGAGGGCGACTAAGAAATGCTGGACCAGCAGCCACGCCAAACATTCTCAGGAGATTCCCTTGCGTTTGATGAGATACTGACCTAATCTACCCCAGGGTAGAATGCTTAAGTGGCTGCCAATGCAGTCATCAATGGGACACTGATATTTCATGGACCCTCCTTCTTTCAAACCAGCTGGCCGTCATTTGCCTTTACGGTGCATCAATCTCTCGTCGTGTGAACACATATTCTGTAGAGTATGTCTCTATGCAAACACAAACTTGACCTTGGTTTCTCTATTTCTCAAACTCTTCCTATTGCGTGATATTCGTAACACCAGATCAGCAGCCCGGTGAAAGGAAGACAAACGAGCGCTTTTAGCCAGTCCCACAATTGCCAGCCCACGTCCAGATAACCCCGACTGGTTCTTTCGCTAGCAAAAGGCCGGTTACGTATCGCATATCCTGTATGTTTTACCACAGAACCAGGTGTGCCCCCGATGCGCTTTCCTTGACTCTAGCCCTCCTTTTCAACATCTTCTTTAGCGTGTTCCCTCACGAAGTCTCCGAGCTGATGATTCAAAAACTGCTCCTCGATGCGTCAATCTTGGTTCGCGAATCCGCCTCGAAAGGCCTAACCAAGCAACTAGCAAGCTTAACCTTTTCATTACCTCTCGCCAGACTGTTGCAAAACCTACACGCATTGTTGCCATGGAACTATCGGTGTAGCCCCAGAAAAAGACGCGGATAATTGAACCTGCGACATTGAAGAAAACATCCGACAGGCTGGGAGTAACTGTGAACTGTGTCTTGCAGCTGCACATCAAGGAGGGATGCCGCTATGAAACCACTCCTGCGGTGTCACAAAGCCAAAACACCGTGTAGACGGTCCCAATAAGAATGCTTGGCTGCGCTAGTTTCGCCTCTTCGAAGGACTGCCTGAAACGTTCGCCTATTCCAATGTACGATTCGCGTGGTTTGGTGACGGAAGGCACGCTTCGCCAATTTGTACAGGAGGGCCGGTGCCGCTAGGAGTGGATGGACTTCTAGACGATCTCCATGCATCGGGCGCTCTAGCAAGACAGCGTCAAACACGATCTTTGGCGAGAGAATTCGACTTCAACCGTCAAAAGAAAGTCTAAAGGAAACACTTTCCATTCGTGAAGACCGCTGGATGGTCGAAAGCGGGCACGACGTCAAAATCAATATCATTACCCAAGCCTTGAGTCTCAATACAAAGAACAAACTCCGGTTAGTAGACTCGCACAAAGGTCTGAACGTAAAGCTCCGAGCATCCACGTGATAAGTACCAATGCAAACGAACTGTATTTTTGCCTTGGTGCCCATCCTCTCGCATGGAATAGACGCAGTAAAGAGGCAGACGGAAGCGAAACAGGACACCCGTCGCCTGACATACACCTAGAAACCCTTTCTTGAAATGCATTTGCCTTTCCTGGAGTATTGGTCGTACGATACAGCACCTGCTGAGAACTCCCTACCGTCACTTACGCGAAGTCTAACATCATGCACCAGCAATATCGGCCTACGTCAACCAAAGACGGTAACCATTGGATACTGTATTTGCTTCCAGGGCTGGAACTCACTTACCTTTCAGGCTGTTGACTCAACAGTTTCCTGTTACAGATATTTTCCCTACTGCATGCACGTCTCATAGGCGCCTAGAGCGAACCTGGCACACAAGTGCGGGAACTAACTTGAAACCATGGATCACAAGAAAGGACTTTACCTGCGTCCCCTTGCAACATCTGGGCTGCCGACTTATTCGCACGCATACGCGAATTCCGTATGCCCCTACACTTCCCCGGTGTCCACCGTGTCCTGAGAGGAATACCGTGCTTATGTTGGCCAAGGCATACTCCGCATGGATTTGAACTTCCTTCTGCAGCTCTCCGCTTATTCACTCCAAAGTTGCTTGCCTTCATGTTGGAATGCAGGCCCTTGAAGCATTGAAGAGCCCACGACACCACAGCAACGGTGACCAACAGAACGCCAACTCCTAAGAGCGCCGATCTCGCGTATTCCCCTCTATGTCTCTGTGGAAAGGCCATATGACCTGGTGCAAGGACTTCATTGTGCTGGTAAATGGCCTCAGAGGTGGGAATAGGAGCGGCCGGTACTCCAGCGCCGTCAGTCACCGCCGCTCGAAGTGCCACAGATACTACAAAAAGGGGAAAGAACCAACGCATTTCGCAGGCCAAACGGGGTTGTTATTGCGATGCGCGGAGGAATAAGACAGTGACACCAAAATTTCAACGCAAACACGGAAAGGGCGGTCCTTATGTACTGCTCGGTCACCTCAGGCCGCAGCCTTGGCGTGCGTGTAAAATTCGTATGGCCTGCAGAAATGCAACGCCTTCTTGCTCAGAAGATATAAATATCATACGTAATTCGTTAGCAGTCGATAATATACTCAACGTATTTCGTTAAACTATGGGCCATACCGTGGTGCATTCTGCGCAGCCACCTGCCCGTTGAGGTACTGGAAGGTATGGAAGGCGATCGGCCGATGGGTGCGGGCGCGGGTGCGTACGCTTGGTCAATCGCCGCCAGCCATATACAAGTAGAACTATAACCCAGCTAAAGGGTAAACCACACAAACCTTTCTTGAATATCCATTCTGCTTGACTAGTTGTTCGTGTCCTTGGATAATTTGCGTCTCCCTGACGTAGGCTCCGCCCGTGCAACGAGTGCCCTCGTCCAAAGGAGAGGGCCATCGTGAGATGAAATATAGTCAAGAGACTTATGTTGAGAGCCTCCCGGAAAGCAGCTGATCTCACCCCACAGTCTCCATTCGACCTGGGCCTAGCGGCGCAAGGTCCTGGGGTACTGAGCTGGGAGTTGGGCTATGAAGATTTGCAGCACACTTTGTTGTGATTCCTGTTGCAAGGGAATCCCACATGTAAACATGATCGAGCCCCCTTGACTGCGCTCTCTAACACTGTGGACAATATTTGAACACTTACTTGGCCTTCAGTAGCCAGCATGCACTCAAGCGGAAGAGCAACGTGCCATCTTCAAGCTGCACGTTGCACTCGCCCCTCCCTCTCCACGGAGAAGCCCGCCGTCGCGTGCCTGGTGGCACCCTAAGACATGGGTGGAAGGAGGAGAGGGCCATACTTGCCGCTGCTACGTGCGTTGCTGCTGCTGCTACGGCGGCTCTTCCCGGCGCATATCTGGCTGCTGCACCTTCTGTTTGCTGTTGCATACCCAGCTGCTCCATCTCTAGCTGCTGCACGGCCTAACATTGGAATCACAAACGACAAACGACACAGTCAGCACTTTCTGCTTCTCCTGAAGTATAGAGAATGGAACAATCCCCATGGTGTTCCTGCAGCCAATCGAAGAAGCTGGCCAGTGCTGCACTTGACTCTGAATCATAATGAGCACCCAGAGAAACTGCAGCAAGGTTTGTTGGTCATCAATGCCGATTGGCTGCTGGTCGAAAAGCGATGCACCTTTGGTGGTAAGGTGCATGGCACCTTTGGTGGTAAGGTGTATGCAACACATTGTCAGATTTCGCTAAACTTCAAAGAATCGGAAGATTCTGCATTTTGCGTGAGACTAGAAGATGGCTGGCAATGGTTGTACTAAAGCTAGCCATATTCTTTGGCGTGATATTGCAGTTTTTTGGTGGGAGCGGGTCTGCAGCTACTTTGAAGCTGGAGCTGAAGGCACTAGGTGGACGGTTTGTCTCTGCAGGTCCTTGGCGCCTCAAACTGATGAATGTACTATTTTGGGGAGCTGTATCTTCCTCAAACGCGTTTCTACGTTTCTGTATACAGTGTTGACAAGGCACAGAAACATACACAAGCAGGCCTTGGGGAGCTATGTTTTACACATGCTGCTTTGTGAGAGGGTGGATGACCTTGAAACTGGCGCCTGAAGCCCCTGTGCAGTGACACGTCTACTGTCACAGTATGGTGGTTTTCTTTCTAACCTGCAGCCTGTGCAGCTGCAGGACGCTATTGATGCAGTGCTGAAGGCGATACCGCAGTACTCTATGGCATTGTCGCTGGCCTTGTTGCCCGTAGAGGTCTTAGAAGCATGACGAAAGAGCCCTTTGCACACTTCTACAGGGTTTCGTTTTAGCCCTAGTGAAGGTTGACCTGCCAACAACAACTATACATCCTTTGCTGGGCAGGATGGACTCGAGAAAATGCTGCTGTAAATTTAAATCGTTGCGTTTCTTGTTAAAATTGAGTTCTGGTGGCAGGCATACCTCTCCAATGCGCCTTCAACTATTTGGGAGTGGGGCGCATTGCATTCATCGTTGGCTTTGTGTCTACAGCTCTGCAGTGTAAGCGCTGGCGCATCTGGGCATGCATCTTGCTTGCATCCCACAACGCCTTTCCGGATGAGGGGTTAAGATGAGCTGCATTAGAGGTGACGACAACAATCGGTTTCCCTTTCTTGCTCATGGACGAATAATTCCAAGTTGCAGAGCCCTTGGCACCGACTGCGCCGAAATGCGCTCACCCCTTGCGTTGTATCTATCTGAGATGTGCGTCATTTGCCTCCCAAAACTCCGTTTCGGGCAATCATAGAAACGGCCGCTTCCTCTCTGTTTTCCTTTGCTTTTCATAGCAACGGGGGTCCGGCTGCGCCTTGGGGACCGCATAGAGCCTCAGTTCACAGGGTTGGCCAAGGGCAAACACGGATCACGGGAAGACGGGTGCTTCAGTAGAGTTTGCACTACCAGTGTCAGCACGATTGGGGGAGCTCGGATGCACAATTACTTGACGGGAGTCTTGCCTCCCACGTCGCCAGCGCCTCTCGGCGGCTGTCGTTTCTACCTGAGTGTAGAGGGGCGCTTTGCTTTCAAGCCTTCCTCGCCAATCATGAAACGAAAGCTAAGGTAGATTTTTCTGTCTGTGTCTGGCTTTGTCTGTTCCACTGTTCCTTCGCCTTGTCTACTCCTCTATGTGTTTGGCTTTCCGTCGTCAGCACTTTTCCCCTCTGCCCTGTGCCTCTTTCTTTTGTACAACGTTGGTTTTGTCCGCCTTCACGACCTTCTGTGCCTCCATAGTCCCGTTGCCCCATTTGCGTGCTGGCAGAAAGTGAAATGAGGCAACGTGCACCATCTCCTCGGCAAATGACGAACAGTCCTGACACAGGCACAAGGTCCAATGCCCTATCTATGAACCAGCGAAACGTCAGTAAAGCCTTTCATGGGCATCCAACTCATGACGCAGACCGAGCTAAAGTGGAACCAACGCAAAATACAGTCACTCTGCCTGCATAACTTGACGCAGCACAAACAGACGGTGCAACACAGATAGCAACCGCGCACGGAAACAAAGGGGCAACCTCTACCAACAACAAACAAAGGTATGGGGACAAGTGGAACGAAGGCGATAATGGGGCGAAGACAGGAAAAAGCATCGACAAACACTGACGTATGAATGAAACCAGGAGACCAAAAATGAAGTGTACAAAAGGAGAAGCACGACGCAGACGAGACCGACGAACACGGGAGACAGACTGGGCCAGGCAAAGACCAAACAATGCAAGCAGCGCCAAAAAACAAAAAACAAACGAACTGCAGAGGCATCTACAACCCCTCGATTGGTTGAGGCGCTGGCGGCGGATGCGGAAAATGCAGAACTATACCCTAAGAAAAGATAACAGCTCTATCCGAAGAGCTTGTTTGCCCCTTGGCACTCTGTAGTAGTCGCAACCGTACAGATATCTAACTCCTCAGCGATCTGCGGAAGTCACACTGCTCGTATAACCGGAAACAGCACTACTAAGTGCTTGAAATTTAGGGTTTCGCACTCCAGCAATCCGACGAAAGCGAAGAAGAGCAACGCAAAAGCAGAGCGCAGCTGGCTTGGGAGTATGCATGCAAGTGTGTTGCGCATACTGTGCACAACTGTCATATGGATGCATGAAGCCGGATGTTCACACGTGTTGGGGAACAAATGCGTGGACAGATGAAAATAGGCAAGGGTAGTGTGCATGCGGCTGTAGAGACGTTTATCGAGGGATTGCGTGACAAATCAACGGGGGGATATTATTAAGGTGTGTCTCCACGACCAGACGGACAAACAATACCACCCAACCGGTTCCCAAGCCAGTAGGGGCTGACCGTTTAGGTAGAACACAAAATCAGAAGCCCAGCACCAGCTAGAGCCGTAGTTGGTATTGGAAGCAGGTTAAACTGCTCGCGGCGCCATTTGAATGCAATCTGCACGTGCCTTTTGCTGAGGAAGATTCGCTGCGTTAACGTTCGAATAAAATGCAGATATCTTGCACCGAATAAGACAGGGAATCCCCGCACAATGCAACAACAACAGCAGAAACACACACGACGCAGTTGCATCCTGCTGCTTCGGCTGCTAGCAAGATACCCTTGGCCAGCCGAAGCAGCAGCGGAGGCGGCAGCAGCAGATTCAGCGAAAGCAAAAGAACCAGGTTGCAGACGTCCACCAAACCGCTTCCACCAGTCCCTGTTCGTTGCCGACAAGGATGCATCAGCTGTGAGGAAATGATAGCGTCCAAGTGTTTCCAGCATAGCAGGCGGCCTCAGCAACTGCTGCAGCTGCTGGCACACTTAAGCGGTGGCAGCAGCAGCAGCACCAATAGCAGTCGGCGCCCGGAGACGTATGACGTCTGCAGTTCATGCCACGGTACCGATTCTGTTCCTACTGCCTTTGCAGATGCTCTTGCAAATGCTGCAGCTGCTGCAGCTGCTGTAGTAGCTGCAGCTGGCCACAGAGCCATAGCAGGAGTAGCTCCTGCCTCGACTGGGCAGCCTCCTCATCGACAGCATTTTCTTGCCTCTTTAGCTGATGCCGTTGGTTTTTGCCAGTCTCCCCCCTATGGTCCTCCTCACTGCTCATTCACTCCACCCGCTGTTTTTTGTATTCATGTGAAGCAAGATTCAATAGCCGCTCCGGACACTGCCTTCTTCCCCCGCTGCTGTAGGTGCTGCTGTGCAGCATTGCTTTGCTTTTGCTGCTTTGACAGATCAATATGCGTGCAATCAGCACGAAAGCCTCCGTGGAGCCACTAATTCCGCCAGGCTGGGTAGCATCAATCCTGCTGAGGCTGCTGCTTCGGTTGCTGCTGCACAGGCGCAATATCTCCCCTTTCGTTACAAACGTGCGCTCGCGGTCTGTGAAAGCAAGCAAGAGGCACACAATCAAAAGCAACGGCGGCAACAACTGGTCTGCGGCAATACAATAAATACGGGGAGCCCTATCCGTGCAGAAACGGATTGGGCCACTCCACGCACAATTGTTGCTGTTGGCCTGTGCTTATGCCTCCCTCTGCCTGATTGTTTTTCTGTACCTCTGCGGCTCTTTGCAGTTTTGTAACTTTTGTTAATTTATTCGCAACCAACTATATATGTGTATCACTGCTTTTGCGCCGTTACCCTGCTCGTCGGTGTTCGCTCGTTGGTACGCCTGCTGCTGTTGCTGCTTTGCATATCATCATCCAGGACTATGGTTCTTGCAGCATCCTGCAGCAGACGCTGCACCAGGCGCAGCGCTGGCTGCTGTTGCTGTTTGCGTTCGTGCTGCTGACGAAGACCTATAGAACTAGCCTGCTAGGCTGGTCTGGCTAGAGCTGGGTGGGATGGCTGCGCATGCGTTGGCATGGCCGAACTTGGGACCTTTGGTGGCGCTACAGTGCGAGACGCGTTTTGCTTATCTGCTGCTGCTGCAGTTGCTCTACCAGGTGCAGCAGGGCGTTTTGCTGGAGTTTTAAATAGTTAAAAAGGGACAGAGAGGCGTCGCCAACAGCACTGTGGGCGCATTTCCATGTTTCGCCAGGCCAAAGCCCCAGCTGCTGCTGCTGCTGCCCACTAGCAACAGCTCCAGTCCAAAAAGTCACAGCAGAGAATACAGTAGGGAGATGGGGTGACGATGCATCTCAAGAATATTCGGGCTGGGTAACAGCGGTGCTGTTGCAGCATTCCCTGGTGCGGCGTCTGGTGGTACTGCTTCTGGCGTTGCTACACTTTCTCTCACTGGGCAAAGCGACAAAGGGATAGGGGCTTACCCAATGCAAGCACGCTGAGGAGGTGCCGGTGCCCTTCAGTATGTGTGCTAGGGGCTGGAGATAGACTGGAACACCTACGATACTGGTAGGCCTTCAGATGCAGCGGCAGCACACACCCACGCAGCGGCAGCAACAGCAGCAACAGCTGGGCCCACGGGATAACTGTTCTTTGCTAAACTCTAGTCTTTCCTTCGTCTCTTAGTAGTGTTATTGACTTCAATCGTTCCCTCCTATTCCAGCGCCAACAGCTGATACTATCCGCGCTGCTGCTGCTTCGGCTAGCTGACGAGGAGCGTTCCTCGTTTCCTCTGAGGCACGACTTTTGGCAGCATCATACGCGCCCCACGTACGCAACTAGCACACGACCATCTTGCTGCTGCTGCTCATGCTGCTGCTGTTGCAACTGTTCATGGTGCTGCTGTTCACAATGCTAATGCTGTTGCTGCCAATGATGCTGCCAGGCATGACCCAATGGTGAAGGCTACAAGTGAAGTTGCATACGACGCTGCTGATACTGATGCTGATACATTAGTGTTGCCGTTGCTGCTGGTTATGAAACATGGCCAATGCTGCAATGCTACATGCAGAACGTCCCTGCCATAGTTTGGGAAAAGCAGTTCTCGAAAGGCCTTCAAGAGCGGCGGGATTTGGGGCATCTGCTACAGCATCCTGGTCACACAGCTGCTGCTGCTACGCTGCCGCTGAGTCAGCAACCTGAACATACGGAAGATTGGTGAAGAGATGAGCTTTAAGAGGTGCGCAGGGCGAATGGTGGTTCTACTGCTGGTGCTGGTGCTTACGCTGTTGCTGCTGTTCAGCCGAGGTTGTGCTGCTGCCATCGTGTGCCTGTTGCTGCTGTCCTCGTCAGCGTCTAGGCTCTTGCATTTTGTGTTATGGGTGTTGCTACCCGAACTGCTGTTGCCGCTGCTTTTAGTGCCGCTGTTGCGGTTCTTATGCTGCTGTTGTAGCCGCTGCTGCTGGTGTCCTGTTGTGCTTGCTGGTCGTGCCACTTATCTTGCTGGTGTTTGCTCTTGGGCCTCTTTACTTGCTTCTGTCCCTCCGGCGGTCTCTATGGCTCCTACGGGTTGCCCAGTGTCGACCCTTGCTGCTGCTGCTGCACATTGCTGCTGTTGCTGCACATTGCTGCTGCTGCTGCACATTGCTGCTGCTGCTGCTGCACATTGATGCTGCTGCTGCACATCGCTGCCGCTGCTGCTTCACATTGGTGCTGCTGCTGCACATTGCTGCAACAGCTGCTGCACATTGCTGCTTCTGCTGCAGCTCCTGTGCGTGGGTACCTGGGTTGAGACTGGAGCTTCGTGCAGTTGTTTGTTATTGCTGCTAACGTGCTGAATCGAGGCTGCAGAGAGCATCGTTTGCGTCCCTGGTGCGAGGGTGCGCTCATGTCTCTACTCCTGCACCGGCACCTTAAGTGCTGCAAGAACTCCTTATGACAACTGGTCGCGACTTCAGCTATCTTGCAGAGCTTGTGCACACTCGCTAGTTAGCTTTTGAACTGCGACGCGGTTCAGCAACTACTGCTGTTGAACTGCACCGCAGTTCAAGGCTGTTGGCTGCTGCAAGCAACAAACGTGGAATCTACACCATAAACCCTCACCTCTAGACCCTTAAGCGCCCAACTACAACTCCGAATTGTAAACGCCTTATCTCTTATCACGGTAGCCATGACCCCGGATCCGTAAAACCCTTCCCCTAAGCCATAGGCCCACGACACTAAACCCTAATCCTTCAACCTGACACCCCCAACTGTAAATCTCTAAGGTCCACGAGCGTAAAGCCTGAAACCTCAAGCGGAAACCCTAAATAATAAACAATAAATCCTAGCCCTAAATCTCAGACCATTAAGAGTTCTGAAAGCAGAGTGCTAATTGTGAGATGCTGCATGGCTGTTCCCCCTAAAGGACTATAGTTTATAAAGCAACTTCACTGCAAGGCTTTTGTCGAGACTCGAGATTACTGACGGAAAACATTGGTTGAGCCTAAGCGTTTATTGCACGTTTGGAACTACGTGCTCATGTGCGAGGCTTCAGCAACTGCGTACGGAGTTGCTGTATCCTGTATATCTTAGGTTTGGCATGCTACAAACCTTTCTCTACGCTGTAGTAAATTCCTTTGACTGGGAATACGGAGAACATACTCACTGCAGATTGAATGCGTACGTCCAGTGGGCAAGCTGGCCGAAATGCAGCTACCGCGATACTCATGTGGGCATCTGTAATGCCTGTCCACCCTGGCGTGCTTCAATGCATGCTGAGGAAAGGCATGCGCTTCGTATGGTTACTGCTGCTTCTCCTTCACCTTGCTTGGCTGGCTGGAAGGTGATTTGCAGTCTTTTGCGAAAGGGTATGACTGGTTTTCGCGACTCAAAGGCTGCAGGAGGAGCCTATGCTCATTGGAGGGCAAATTGCGCAGACGATCACAAGAAGTACAAACGCCCAATCACCTCTGCTGCCGTAGTTTTCGTCAAATAAAAAACTTAGCCGTACTGGCACTATTAGGCAGAGCTGGCACAGCTTGCCGCGGTGCCTACGATGCCAAGAACAGGCAACACGTTCACACGAAAAGAGCGGGATCAGTTGGGGGTAATCTTCGCCACCTTTACACTATCTTTCAAGCCGTTAAAACAATCACTCAGGCGTAAAGTCACGTACATATCCAATGGACGAGTTTGCCAAGTACAAATGCCGGGGACATGTTCCTGGTTTTCATACTCAGCACTTTTCCCATGCGCTGCACAGCTACAGGAATTAAATCGGCCTTCGCCACAGGTTTTGTCAACTATACGTCTATGGTGTGGCAGGGAGTTTGCTATTAGGCGTCAATGACCAGCCCAGCGACTCTGCAGCGAGATTGTTTGCCTTTTATGCGGTTGTTAGTGATTGTGGGCTGTCAAATACGTGTAGGTGCACGAGGAGGAAAACATACGCATGTGGGTTCGATCAACACGATCTGAAGATGTAAATACCCGTGTCTATGGAGGGGTGCATGCCACCAGAATGGGTTCTGGACATCAGGCTATGGTTAGGGAAATAATAGGAATCGAGTGAGTGGGGATGTATACATTGCAACCCGAGTGAGCAGCTGAGGAAGTGTTTGGAAGTGATCGGCAAGTGGAGGCCCAACTGGTTCCATGAACTATCTTTATTGATATCATTAGCTGCCTGCACTACAGCCCACTCCGACCTGATGCTTGATTGTAACTGCCCTTTCCCAGTGTAGTTTCGTTCCGTACAAACGCTACGCGAGCGAAATTAGCTAGGGCCCCGAGCAAAGCAACTACTTCGATACAAGGCGTTGTCGCTATTCGTGCTGCCTTCTGCGTCACACCCATGAACAGCTATTTAGCTGGGCATCCAAACGCTGCCCTGAAAGAAAAGACAACTTTTGCACACAGCCTTGTGCCGACTGGCAACACCAATCAACTGCAAGAAACCTATGCGAAACACCACAACCACCAACACACAACTCACTAATGCATGTTTTAGCTCTTTGCAAACACCCTTCAAAGTACCCCGGATATCCAACGCTGGCCCCTATTTTGCATCACGAAAACCAAAGCAACAGTGGTTAGAACAGACTGGGCAAAACAAATATCATGAGGTTCGATGAAGTGCAGCATCTCCTGGCACACACACTACCCCATGAACGAACTTTGCCGCTCTCCGTATAATGTACGTTCTCAGATTCGACGTATCCAACTCCCGTCCCTTCTGCAGAACACGAACACAAATCATATTGCCAGTATGTTCAGAGATCGCGCAGTAGTGCTCGCAAGTCGAATCCCGTGAAACACCGGCCGTCAGCAGTGCATCAGTGGGGTCTGAAATACTGTATTGGCAAAATGTGCAGAAATGATTGGTGCGTCGACGCATTATTCCCGCACTTTGGTGAAACGTGCACCATTTGGGTGGTGCATGCCTGCTTTCTCCATACGTTATATTTTGGTCTTCGGATGGGCTTACTAGTAGAAAAATTTGAGGCCCATGGGACTCGCCGGTCTTCGGGCATTCCTAACGACGGAGACTTCGCATTAATTGCGTGCCATGTGGTCAGCCCAAAACTACGAAAACCCACATGCGCGTGCCACTGCAGACGTTTGCAGGAGCTTCACTGTTCAAAGAAGTGTTGTCGGTTTTGAGAGACACTTTATATATATATATATATTAGGTTTCTACAAATATATACGAAGCAGCTGGCAGGATCGAAGATCAAATGCCAGATCCAGACCCTGCTTTGACCCTATATACTGCATGTCTGCAACGGCAGTCGAACTGCAGCCCTCTCGCCGCTGCGGGAAGCCAGGACTCCACATCGATTTGTAGCTGCAAGGCGAACAGCTGTGCTGACTGGCACCACAGCACTGGCGTGCAACACACATTTCACCAAACGTTCGTCTGGGAGCCTGCGCAGACGTACTAAGGCATGTATCATACTAAGCCTCAAAGTAGTGTGGCAATGATATTGCTACAACCCAGCGTACAACATACAAGAATGCCTTTTGACTGCAGACTATCCGCTGAGATATTTTCACCTTACTGACTGTGCCATGCACGTGCATTGCCAAACTAACCCGTTCGGTAGGGGGCACACTCCTGAGTGAACCTATAACATCAACGCTGCACTGAGGACTTTACTTCTAGTCACGCTCCGTGGCTGATGTTGCAAAGCTAAACGGGCGTGAACGTAGCGTCTGGAAGCTTTGGCACAAACCAACTCCCGAAAAGGGTACACTACTACTGTTGGCAGGATAGCAGAAGCTCTAACAAACGAAAAACGTTTCGCGATTGCACGACACTGAATAGCCTACTCTCTGATCGGAACTCCCGAATCCAGAAAGGCACAATGACCATCAGCGCCAACTGCAATAGTACACAGCGTCAACGACTCCACGAAACCAAAGCTTCGCCGGCCCTTCGCGATGCGGTGAAGGGGCGTTGCTTGCTGCGCCATGGCACTGTAAAACACTAGAGCCAGCCCCGCTACATCCGGTTCTTTGT